AAATTATGGCTTTATTATAGAAAACAAAAATGAAATTCCTCTGTCACGGGTGGGACAGCGTTCGTCATGGTTAGGACACGAACGAATTTTTATATCAAAAGGGGCTTTTAGTGTGGTACATATTAAAGATTAGTTATTAAAAAATATAAAAAGCCAAGTAGGAGTTCAATTCAGTCACAGTTTAACTTAGACTTAGGATAGTGCCTTTTATATAGAAGAAAATGCCTAGCACCTTCAGCCAAAAAAAATATTAAAAATCAACGTGATTTCCTAGCGCCTTGAAATGTTCACTTTTACCTACATAAATTCAATGGGCTCTAAAACTAGGCACATACCTAGCATTTTTCTAAACACTTTGAACAAAAAGTTCCAATATTTTCGGTGTAATTGTTAGTTTGTTGAATTTTTATAAATTTTGTACGAAGTTTGAAATATATATAGACTTTTAAGTTTTTAACTTGAAAACTGTCCACAAGGGTATATAGGTAATGGGCGAGTCCGCGTTTCCCCCTTCTCCTCAACAAACAAATAAAGCTTATCAGCGCTGTAAACCTAGCTCTGTCAACTGTACCACACGTACACGGGACATGCTTCACTGTTGAATTATTCTTATCTAACTATGTGGAAACGAANGGATTTATATGGTTCGGGTTATGTAATGTGCTAGACTTTTAACTTTTTAACTTAAAAACTGTCCGCAAGGGTATATAGGTAATGAGCGAGTCCGCGTTTCCCCCTTCTCCTCAACAAACAAATAAAGCTTATTAGCGCTGTAAACCTAGCTCTGTCAACTGTACCACACGTACACGGGTGGGACATGCTTCACTGTTGAATTATTCTTATCTAACTATGTGGAAACGAAAATTCAATTGTGGTAAACATTTGCAATGAATTTCTAACATTAAGCAACAAACACGAAACAAAACTTCAAATTCTGTAATAAAATATAACCACTTTTACCTTTTTTTGCCAAGGGACTAAACCAATACTGCTTAATAATAACTCATAATATAAATAAAGATCTCACAAAATTAATATATAACACAATTGTATTAAAAGCAGATGAGCTCTACCATATATTTTTCCTACCAAACACTTGAATCATGAATCGCAAAATATTTGACAGCACTTTCAAAACAACCTACTATAAACTCAATCAAAAAATTTACTTAGAACATGATTTAAAAAAAAGGAAAAATGTAATAAAAATGCATTTAAATCTTTAATTTGTTAATTTTTGGTTGATTAAAGAATTTTATAAACACGATCAGATACAGGTGACAGATTATTTTATCACCGACGATAGGTTAGATCTGATTGGTTCGAGGAGAATATCTACAAATAAAAACAATGAACGCTATTCATTTATGTGTTAGTAAATGGAATCAATAAAAAAATATTAAAAAAAATGTAATCCGGTAATGATACTTTGAGACAACTTCGAGATTACTGCATAGAGGAAATACTACCGATGTTATGTGTGCTGAGTGTTGAAAAATGGGAATTATATTAAAATAAAACGCTATGAAACGTTCCCAAAGAGTACACAATGCGAACGATACTTTCGGAAACATTGCTAAGAGAACAAGCTTCTGGAATGTTTTGCAAAGAGCAAAACGGGAACAAAAGTCTTAAGAACTTTATCTCAATGAACAATTTGGGAACTTAAGTCTCAGGAAATTCCAGACAGAGAGCGAAATGGGAACAAATGGAAAGAAGGGAAGCAAAAACACAATTTTTCCCATAGCATTCCACTAGCTTGAAATGTTTAAATATTGAAATTAATCAACAAAGAATTGAAAGATAATTGTGCAAATAAAGTAAACGAAAGATTTAAAACACGAACTTCTTTTGCACAAAATGAAATATTGTTCCATAAATGGACAGTTCCCCTTAACGAAAAACGATCTCACACTGAAACGATTTTTCATCCCAACACGCAGACGCCCCTCTTATTCAAATTTTTTTTTCGTTTTATTCTCTAGCAGAACGTTCCCCAGAGTTTTGTTCCTATTTATTCCTCCATAAAAATGTTCTCGATATTTTCTTATTTTGTCCTCATTGGAAACCTCCCGGAAGTTTTGCTCTCGTTCTGTTCAGGCTGAGAACATTCCCGAGAACTTTTTTCCCTATTTTGCTCTTATATGGGAACGTTTTTGATATTACATTTTTTTCTCTTGCAAAACTAAACCAAAACTGTAACGCGATCTCGGTCCCTATTGTAAAGTAATCGTCAATCGTTTTTGATGTTATTTTACGAGTCTGCCAAGCATGCAAGACTTATATCTTCATCTCGAAGGAGGGACCCCTGCCCGACTCAGTATTGGCTAGGCGCCACATCAGCTTTAAATGAAACACACCTCATACAACTCAAGCCACTTCGAACTTGAGGACGTAATTTACGGCCACCTACGGTGTGCCTAGTTTTAAGCGCAGTTTCCGACCAACAAAAAAAAAAATACAAGTAAAGAAGTATAAGTATCGGCACAAGTATCAAATATCGTCGTTTCAACTTTCCCTGAACTACCGTTGCATGATAAGTAGGGATGTTTACCCGATTTCAAACGATTCCGATGGTTACCGAGGTACACCTTTGTAGTTATGAAGTGGACGGTGCTACGACCAATTCCTAAAAGTCTATAGCAGTCTTATTTAATGTTAGGAGATTGATGTAACTATTAACTTGGAGTAAATTAGCGTCCTCATTGAAATATCGGAGTTGTCGCATATCTGAAATTTACCGTTATATGCGGAGCAAGTGTAATTTTAGTTCGATTTGAACAATATTCAACAAATTGCTTTTTCGTACCAAGGTTTTTAAGTGCACCGAGTTTGGTAGAAATTGATAAATCGGTTACCGAGATACACAGTTGTGGTCATAAGTGGGTGGGCCACGCCCATTTTTCAAAAATTTATAATATTCTAATCTTATGCTAGCTGATTATTGCAATCATCGATTTTAAGTGAATTAGCCCCAGTAGTTCTGATTTATCGTGTTTGTGTAAATTACCGTTATATGGCAGGTGGGCATGGTTATTACCCAATTTCAAAGATTTTGAACAGACTTCTTAGCTAGACCCTACCCAAGCGTCGTACCGAGTTTGTTAGGGATTGGTGAAGCAGCTGCTGAGATACAGAATTTCATCATAAGTGGGCGCTGCCACGCCCATTTTCCAAAAATTTCATAATACATTATTTTTTACCACAATTCTACTCTACATACTAATTTTTTTTAACAATTTGCACCGAATTTTTACTGAAATATCGCAGTTTTTGCATTTTTCGAAAATATCGTTATGTGGGAAGTGGGCGTGGTTACCGACCGATTTCGCCCATTTTCAATACCAACCTACCATGGATAAAGGGCAACCTGCACACCAAATTTCGTTGAGATATCTCATTTTTTGCTCGAGTTATCATGTACACGGACGGACAGACAGACATGGCTTAATCGATTTCTATTTTCATTCTGATCATTTATGTATACATTTGTCCATATCTATCTCGATACGTTTTGGCTGTTACAAACAACCGTTATGCGAAAAAACTCAATATACAATTATGAAAATTTTCCATTCAGCTTCTTTCTGACAACTATCTGCGAATAAAGTGAAAAAACAATTCTATTTTTCGCTGGCAGCTGATCTCGTGACCAGCAAAATTACAAATAAATTTATTCTCGTCGAATTTCGTCAACAGGCTTTTCCTTTGCTTCCGACGAAGTTCACTCAGCGATTTGACTGTTCTTAATTTTACCTTTGGCTTTTGCGATTGAAAAAAAAACAGCAACGTTAAAATGGCACAGCAACAGATAAAAAATTTTGCAATTTACTATTAGGTAAGGGTAGGGTTGAGAAGTAAAACGAAACATTTTTACGGTTTCGGAAAAGGGATCACGCCATATATGTGTTCTAAAACCTTAAAGAAGCAGATTACGGATAAGTAAGGCCCGGATTTTTATGCACTAAAAATCTTAATTATGCATTAAAAACAAACAAAATATGCAAAAAGACTTCTAGCATTTGTTTCGTTTTTTGAATTTTCATATTTTATTAGGAGTTTATAATTAACACAAGGACATCTTTTAACTTTTAATGCCACGAAAAACTCAAATTTAATTAAATATATATCTAAAATTTTAAAATGTGCATTAAAAAATTAAGCACTTAAAGTAAAAAGTAAAAAATTCTTTTATAATAATATAAGAATACATATTTTTTTCCATACTTTTTTTAATTTGCTTCGTTCTTTTAACTTTTAATGCCACGAAAAACACAAATTTAATGAAATATATATTCAAAATTTTAAAATAAGGATTAAAAAATTAAGCACTTAAAGTAAAAAGTAAAAAATTAAATAACAATAATATAAAAATACAATTTTTACCATATTTTTTTTAATTTGCTTAGTTCTTTAAAATTCTAGTTAAAAGTTAAAGCTTTCCTTATTTGGCCGCAAAAATGTTTGCGAGATGCATTTGTTCTGCCAATGATTTCTTCCTTCCAATAATAACTAATATTTCTAACAACAAGCTGTAGTTTGCATTGTTATAGGCAAACCGTGCTTCAATCGAACTCGAAGCAATTGCTTTTTTCGCCTTCAATATTGAAGAAGCCTAAATTAATTTTCGACGAAATCGGTACCCCTTAGTTGCCTGGAATCATCAAATGCTCTTGCGATTGTGGACTGATTCGTCCGTTCTAGACAAATGGTGTTTAATAAAAACATGCAATTAAATATGATTTTTGCCAAAGTATGCCCATATATGCATTTAGGTCAAAATATGTAAGAATATAGACTAACAAATCGATGTCACCTTAACACAAAACTCTTGATTCGCAGCATTTGTTAATCTTTAGGTTCCTACGACTTACCAACCAAAATATGTAAATGCATAGAAATCCGGGCCCTACTAATAAGTAATTGAAATGAAATCCACAAAATTTAATCCCTCTTTTCTTTCCATTACTTTTATTATCGCATGTGTGTATGTAGGTGTAGAGTGCGTTGAAATGGATTTTCCTCCCTTCTTCCATTGCATACCTTGTCTAGCCGGCGCTCATCTAAACGGCACCAAATGTCGAGACATCAACGAATGCGACCTTTACCATCCTTGCGATCCGAAAACAGAGTGTATCAATTTGAATCCTGGGTTTCGCTGTGAACCTTGCCCACTAGGCTTCGACGGAATTCATGGTAGAGGTGAGTGACCCGTCACAATTATTTTAAGCACTACTTTTATCTTTAGTCGACGCATTTTTCAGGCTTCTACTCCGAATATATTGGACCCGATTTTCGCAAGCAAACCTGCAATGATATTGACGAGTGTTCGAAGGGATTGGCTAATTGCCATGCGTATTCGGTTTGCGTAAATACGATTGTAAGATTCTTCTGCAAATATTAACGACTTTATCTGATAAAATATTTTTTTGTAGGGATCATACCAGTGCAAGTGCGTTGATGGGTATTTCTCCAATGGCACCAGTATTTGCTTACCTACATCAGACATGTGTCCAGACGGCACCATCTGCGATCACAATGCCTATTGTCATCTCGCAGATAACTTCAAGTACACTTGCAAGTGCAATGTCGGTTGGGCTGGTAATGGCTTCATCTGTGGCCGCGATCGAGATTTGGACGGATGGGTCGATTTTGACTTAAATTGCGCTGATATACGGTGCAGACGCGACAATTGTCCCGATTTGCCAAATTCCGGGCAGGAAGATGCAGACAATGATGGCATAGGAGATGGTTGTGACGATGATGCTGATGGAGATGGCGAGAAGAATGACCAAGATAACTGCCCTTTTGATTATAATGACAATCAGTCAGACTCGGACCATGATGGCGTCGGAGATGCCTGCGACAATTGTCCGTTTGTGCCGAATCGGAAGCAATTGGATTCGGATCGCGATGGCATGGGCAACGATTGCGACGACGACATCGATAACGATAATATTGCGAATATGTACGACAACTGCCCAACTATGCCGAACCCAAATCAGTCCGACGGGGACAACGACGGTATCGGTGACGCCTGCGATAACTGTCCGACAATACCAAATCCATCGCAGGAGGACAGAGATAACGATCTGGTAGGAGATGCATGTGACTCGGATATTGATGGAGATGACGATGGCATACAGGACAGCGAAGATAACTGCAACTCTATAAGCAATTCAGATCAATTGGATACGGATGGAGATGGAAAGTAAGTCTTTGCCGAGTTTTTGCACGAACGTGTTCTTTTTTAATTTTTTTTAATAACTTTTTTGTAGAGGAGACGCTTGTGATGATGACATGGATGGAGATGGGGTTCCAAATCATCGCGACAATTGCCCGCTGGTCAGGAATCCCGATCAAACAGATTTAAATCGTATGTTTCTGGACTTATCGCTTTAAGTGTATTAAAATTAACTTTTACAACCAGGCAATGGAAAAGGTGACATTTGCGAGTACGATGAGGATGAGGACGGCACACCCAACTTCATTGATAACTGTCCGAACAACTCAATGATATATTCAACTGACTTCCGCACGATCCGTTCGGTAATCCTCGATCCCGAGGGTGATGCGCAGCGCGATCCCAATTGGGAAGTGCATGCTAATGGCTCTGAGATTGTTCAAACTCTCAACAGCGATCCAGGCTTGGTGGTTGGACACGATGCTTTTGGTGGCGTGGATTTCGAAGGCACATTCTACGTCAACGATGACACAGATGACGATTATGTTGGTTTCATATTTAGCTATCAAAGCAACCGCAAGTTCTATGTAGTGATGTGGAAGAAAGCCGCACAAACTTATTGGGAATCAACGCCTTTCCGTGCTTCATCAGAACCTGGTATACAAATCAAGTTGGTCGACAGCATCACTGGACCTGGCTCAATGTTGCGTAATAGCCTTTGGCATTCGGGCGATACACCGGATCAAGTCAAGCTGCTGTGGAAGGATCCATTGAATGTGGGTTGGAAGGAGAAGACTTCCTATCGCTGGTCGCTGGTGCATCGACCGGCTATAGGTCTGATTCGCTTGAGGTAAACATTTATCTCTGTCTCATGGTTTCCCAAAGCTCACAACATTGTTAAAATTTCAGAATGTACGAAGGCCAACATTTAGTCTTGGACTCACACAATGTGTACGATTCCACGTTAAAAGGAGGACGCCTCGGAGTTTTCTGTTTCTCACAAGAGATGATTATTTGGTCGGATTTGATATATAAATGCAACAGTACGTAGTGTATTTTTTCTCAGATTTCAACCACTTTAAATTATTATTATTTTTTTTAATATCATTTAAAGCGCGTGTTCCGGGTCTCATTTACAATGAATTACCACATACACTGAAGCAGAGAGTGGAAGTGGACAGATAGGCGCTGCGTTTGGTGAAAAATATGTCAAGATCATAGACGTGCTAATGTTGGACTTATTTGTGCTTTGATGTTAGTAAATACTCTATTGCTTTGTTGAACGTATTATTACTGGCACTTTATATGAATGTACCATAAGTACTCGGATGTCCTTTTTCTAATACTTCGATAACTGAAAATATTTTTTATGTTACAATAGGTCACAATGTAAGTTAAGAAGATGACTAAATAAATTATTAAATACTTTTTTTTATAAAATACTAAAACCGTATAACATGCAGCTTTTTTATTTCCAAAGACTGCTTAAATTTTCTGTTAGCAGGACGTATCTTGAAACATTTTTCAGTTATCCCTTTTGGAATTGGGTTGAGAGAGAGAGAGAGAGAGAGACGGTTTGTCTCGAAATCAAAAGGCAGATAAGAGATCAGTTCCAAACTATAAATGTTTGTATGTATAATCTTATCACCTTCTCGGAGGGATCAACCAATATCAACAAGTTTTTTTATCACTATATGAAATCAATAACTGGTATTCGTCGTCTCCGTCTNAGAGATCAGTTCCAAACTATAAATGTTTGTATGTATAATCTTATCACCTTCTCGGAGGGATCAACCAATATCAACAAGTTTTTTTTATCACTATATGAAATCAATAACTGGTATTCGTCGTCTCCGTCTATTGAAAAAAGGTTGCTCTTCTTCACCTTGATTAGCGCTGTATGAGCTTAACCGATTTTGATCTGCCTCTGCTGGCACAAATTGAAAATGCGAAAAGAAGCCAAGTTCTTCTCCACCTGGTCTTTCCATCAGATATTTTCATCCTCCATGCCCCGGCGCCATACATCAGCACTGGCATGACGAGTGACTTATAGAGTGTGATTTATAAATGTACGAAGAGGCAGGACTTTACTTGTCAATCGCCTACTCAGTCCAAAGTAGCACTTGTTGGAAAGAGTTATTCGCAAGTCGTAAATTAGGTAATAGTTTACGACTCGACAACATTGGCATTGTCTACTCTCGTGCTGAAATAATTAAACGATTAGAATCGTCGAAAACTGTACCGTGCTGCCAAGTTTTTCCGTTTTAATGTAGTAGTCGGGTGGAAATTTTAGGCAATGACGTGAAATTTTCGATACAATTCGACTCTCGAGAAACGACTTGCATTCGATACGACTCTCGCAAGGAGGGTGATTATTATTGACATTAATGCTGGTTCCAAAATAAACCAAGTAGTATCCTTTTTCACACTTTTAACTGTTATCGTAAAGAAACTACATGAGAGACAGTGTCACCTTTTCTAAACCCTCGTTTTCATCATATGGCTCAGAGAGACCCTTCCCAGAGTCATTTTACACAGCCGTCATAGTTTCCCAGGCATACCAAATTCAGACATCGTTACGTGCTATCGATATCGATTCTATTCTTGCGAGCCTTTTCTAAGATTTTGCATATTGTGAATACGTAATCTATGGTGAAATTTCTGGGTCTAGACTCACACAGACAATGCCCAATCAGTTCGTTGACGGTGTACATCAGTCTTTCATACAATGCGTTCGATAAGACCCAGCAACATATATTTAGAATGCTGATCCCACGAAAGTTTGTGCGTATGGCCGAAGTGGAATCCAGTTGTCGGGCATGCGTTCAACTGACCATATTCTGCATAAAAGATGATGCATGCACCTTATCAACTCTTCGCTGCCGTACTTGAATATCCCCGGCTAACAGGCCGACAGCTCCAGCAGTTTTATGGTTTTTCAGAGCCTTAAGTGCTACTCGCCCTGGTCTTGAAACCTTCCGTAAGTCGCCTATTATAAACAGCCCAATTCTGAATACAATTTTTCTTCACTCCCTGTCATCTTATTCTGAATAAAATTTTCCGGGGATTTTTTTCCTTCTTCTCTTTCCTCCTATCATGAACAATATTCTAAAAGGGGAAACCCTGTTTGGGAAAGATTTATCTATTACGAATGCCGGAAAAAAGGGAGAACGTGATGGCATTTTCAAATAAATCTTCTTAAAGCACAGGAGAGCTACGCAAAAATGTAAGTATTTGCACCTTTTTATAGAAAACAATGCTAAACCAATGCTTTTAGCTCAAAAAGAAGAAATAAGCAGCAAATTGAAATTTCAATAACTTTAGTGTAAAGTAATGTTGCCATCGCTCGAGGATTTTATAAAGGTGGCAAAGAGGAGCTTTGGCAGGCTTCGGTGCTGAACAGGGAGTGAATTCAAGTCGGATGGGCCACGGACTAAAAGTGTTGCGAAATGGAAGAAGGTAACTATGGTCAATTAGAATTTGTTAAACAGAGTAATAAAAGTATTATACTTCAGGTGGCTACTCTGCAATGCGATACGAAAGAGCAATCTACATACCAAATTTCGTTGAGATATCTTAATTTTTGCTCGAGTTATCGTGTACACGGGCAGACGGACAGACGGGCGGACATACAGACATGGCTTAATCGACTTCTCTTTTCATTCGGATCATTTATGTACATATTTGTCCATGTCTATCTTGATTCGTTTTGACTGTTACAAGCACCCGTTATGCGAACAAAGTTAATATACCCTTGTGCATAACTGCGCTCGGGTATAAAAATTATTATCCGTTATGGGGCTCCTTAGTAAAAAAGTTATTAATTTCAATGAGTGTGTATACACTTATTTATAAGCGTATTGGGGAATAGATATGGAAACATGTTCACGATTGCGTTCGTATTCCGAAAGGCAAAAATAACCACGTAATTTTTGTTCACGTTACATCAGTGTTAAAAGAGGGTGTTTACGTCAAACGGTGCTCACGTAATTGCGATTGCACTGTACTTAGTATGTACATTGAGTTGATATGATTTCAACTACATATTCATAATACTTCTTCTTCTCTTCTTTTTTGGCGCTGTAACCGCCTAAGCGATTTT